TTCAATGTCCGGCATATCATTGAAGAGGAGTATGAAGTTCGCGATAGCTTGGGGATGTTTTACCGTGTTGATCTGAAGAGGAAGAGCTGCTCATGCAAGGAATTTGATAAGCTCCGACTCCCTTGTGTCCACGCACTTGGTGCTGCGCTAAACAGAGCTCATAAGGTGGAGGACTTAGTGGCTGTCGAGTACAGCAGCGTTTACTGGAAGAAGGCGTATGAAGGTGGGATAAACCCGGTGAGCATTAACCACCTCGACATAGGTGGATCCGACTCCTTCAAAATTCTCCCGCCAAACACACGCAGGCCTCCAGGAAGGCCGAGGAAGAGCAGGATACTATCCGCAGGAGAAATAAGGGTAAGGAACATTATAAAAAATTATTTTTACCTGTAATTATACTTATTAACGGGAAATATTATTAATTCCAGCAATCAGGTCGTTCCAAGAGGAAGAGGATTTGCACAAGATGTGGTGGGGTGGATCATAACCGCGCCACTTGTAAAATGCCAATATGAGAAGGCAAGTGATCGTTAGGAAGAGGAGCAACGGATGGTAGGATGGTCTTTTGTAGGTCTGATTTGGGGCGACCTTTTATTTTGCTATGTAGTATGTTAAAAATGTTCCCCAAAGCCCTCCCTTGTTGACAAAATATGTGTAGATCGATAAGGGAGGAGAAAAATGTTGCCCTCTAATGTAATATCCGGAACCTGAACTATTCGTATCAGTAATGAAGTTGGGTAACCGGTAAAATGATCTTTAGTCGCGAATATCGTAATGTTTTGCTGAAAACGAAGAGATGATATTATGTGACTTTTGAAAATGAAGACCCAATTTAGTGGAGTGACTAAACGAGATGTCACTATATATTGAGCAAGTGGAGTGGAACATCAAGGATTGATTAGCTATATCTCTGAATAAATTATGTTTCCCTGAAAGTATATTTGTTAAGGAAAATATTACAATTTACGGGTAAAAACTGTGGTGTACGAACTATATGAGTGATAAATAAGGAAACCGATTAAACAAATCCAAATAAAACATAATAAGTATGAAGGTCTAAAATGCGAATGGAAATGTTTAACAACATATTTAAAAACAAGATAGTAGTCTTAAAGAAGTTGGAGAAGACAATTATGATTGTTGCTGGCGATGATTAAGAGGATTGTTTTGGGTAATGTAACGGTAAAACTTCAGACATAGCTGCTTCGCCGCATCAGGGAGCACCTGCAGGGTTAGGAATTTGCAAGCTTCCAATCCCTTCTGGCAGTGTGCATCAACGTAAAGACAAGTGAGGACCCCATCATCGGTTAGCGAGGGTGTCTGTAAATCAATCAGAATATAGTAGG